CCATCACCGTATATCTTTTATATTTAAAATCGAGGTCACATACCATGCCGAGGGAAGGAATCGAACCTTCTGATGTCTGACTAATAGTCAGATGCATAGAACCACTATGCCATCCTCGGCAAATGTATGACTAAACGAATCAAAAGAAAAGAAACGAGTATGAGGGCTTTTTGACCTAGCACAGGAAATAGAAACTGTTCTGTGAAAATAAACGACAACCTCTATATCACGAATATCTCTATATAGTGAACGTTTTTAAATATTCTCGACGGTGTTCACATTATAGAGGTTTTGGTGTAGTTCAATTTTCTCATATACTCCATATTTCGATGCAACAAAAGGGCAATTATTTAATAGATTTTATTCTAATTATATAATCGAATATATTTTAACTCAAATTTATCTCTGATGAAATTCTTGAAATAGAATTCGATTAGAATATACATTTTTAAAATACGAATTCCTTTGAGTACATAATTACATTTTAATTATTCAACTACAAATGGTCAAATGAATCAGATCAGAGTAAAAAAAACGAAATATTCTTCATTCGAATTCTTTCTTTTAACGTTTTATTGTCTAGCCGTTTTTTTTTTAATTTGGTAAAATACATTGAACAAAACTAAATCTGTATTGTTTTAAAATGTATTCATTAAATTTATTAATTTTTCTTTATAAAGTTGATCAATGAATAATTCTAAACATTATTTTTTCATTTCTAATATTAGCATTTCAATGAGATGTTTTATCATTCAGATTCATGACTGATAAATCAATAGTTTCTGCTTGAAAAAAGAATATTTCATTGACGAAAATCCAAAAAATATCCAAACTCTACATTGTTTTTCAAATCAAATGCTTAGAGACAAAATAATCACTTATTATAATTAGATATTCAAGTTCTATTTAGAAGAATACAACATGTTTTCATTCTTCAAATAATTTCTGAATGTTACATCTGATTTTTTTTATTACAAAGAAAGACACAAAAGAGTCTTACCATCTTTTTATGTTTCATATGTAAATCAATCATTTGTTGTGATTGTTGTTTATAAGGATACAATAATATGATCATTTCATAGATTTAATTTTTTTTTAAATTAAATATTGATCAACTGAATATTGAACTATATCAATATGAATGAGTAAATGAATGAATGATAGTCAAATCAATTGATGCTTTATACAATTTGTTTTTCCTAACAACAACAAAAAACAAAGTCTTATTCAGATAAAAATCTTTTTGTGTTTTTCGTTACTAAATTTTCGATATTCAATATCTCCTTGAATTAATTTATCAACATATTTTCGACGAGGTACTTCTTAAAAATATAAAAAAATCTATTGCCTTTTCAATAAGATCAATAATTAACTGGAAATTAAAACGATAATTCATAAATTTCTAATCAATATATTCTCGTTAACATATTCTTCTTGTTTAAAAACAAATATTGTATAATTAAATAATTGTTTAAGTTTTTCATTAATATAATTCATAGATAGTTATTTAAAAGAATTTCATTGAAATATTTCAAAATCAATTTTATCAAATATACTAATAAATAATCAATTTGAATTTGTGTTTATTTCGATCGAGAAATTTATTTATATGTGGAAAAAATTCATTTAAATAAATATATATTCATAAAAATAACTTTTTCATATAATTTCAACAACACAATTAATCGAATTAAATATGAGATATGGTTATGAAAATCAATCATTAAAAAGTGTTCAATTAATATATAATGTAGCAATGAGACAGAAAATGGATATTTTTGTTTGAATTCGTAATTCAGAACATTTTAATCAAATTGGTATGTTTTGAACCTGATGAAAAAGAATAATGTCTCAAACCTTGAAAATAAAGAAGTGTTTTATGTAGGTTTTCAATCGAACTGAAATGAAGAAATAGGATAAGTGAAAATTCATCTGATCTAGTTGTCGATTTTTTTCAATTCAAATCATAAGAGATAATGTAGATATCGCTTACATAATAAAAAAATTACCAATAGATTCGATTCGAGTTAAAATTTTCTTCTCTGATGAAGTATCAATGGGATGCAGTGTTTTTATAATAGCAGATGTACCAAGCAGAACCAAACCGTACAGAACATCTGCTGATTCTGATTTACACTTTGATTATATAAAGAATGTGTCAGATTATGAAAGTTTCTTGCTCCTATAAAAACGATGTTACACAATTGATTAACAAAAACAATTAAATATTGAATATGAAATATTTTCTTGAGTTAATCTTAAAAGAGAAAAAGAAGTATACAAATGATTGAAAGATCTTGATAAAAGGTTCATTAGACATTGATATAGATATTTTCATATATTCTATCATCGATCAAAAAACATAAATTATATTTCATCTTTGTGGTTATGGATCATCCACAAAGACTGACTAGATAAAAATGACATATATCCAGTTTTGGCTAATTCGCTTTCTTTTCCTTGGATGTTCAATTTGAAAAAATTTTGTAAGAAAGTCTATTTTCTGAAAAATATTGTTTTCTCTTATCAGGAGACTAGACAATATAGACTGAAACAAGTCAGAAAACTCAAGATTCAACTCGATTTATGCCACATCGAGTCGAGTTATCGAACATCGATTATAAAAAAATGCATTAGTCACTATTAATGACAGTTTCATTTCCATCTAGGTATCTACAATTAACCTTTCTTCGTTAGCTATTTCCATCACTATATTTATTAAATTTTGAAAGCTTTGTTTTGTTCTTATAAGTCACACAACATATTTGAGTCTCTCAAATATCGAGTCAACAAACATTTGTGAATATTTAAATGATCAATCGATTGCTCGCGTCCCATTTTCTGCACGATTTATAGGTTGTCTTATTGAATACACTGGAATTGAACCTATCAGATGTTGAAATACATAACAATTATTCATCTGGAATGAGTGTAATACATAGGTAGAGGATGTATAAAGATAATTTAAAACAATTGTTTAGAAAATTTGCAATTTAATTCCAGCAAAAAATTTTCAGAGTACATGTAGACTATAAAGTCGACATGAAGTGCCAAATTAAAATAAATTGCTACTCTTTCACTTTCAATTGTACGCATCAATCCAAACAGTATGTTAAGTCCTTGCCAGTAATTACCCGAAAGAAAATCATTATTTGTGAGATCTGATGAGTTTAGTGCTGCATAGATTGCTCGATTAGGATTAACTCGATTTCGGTCTATGCTAGACAACAGTAGATCCATGTTTTTGTCGATTTACTCCGATAGATTAAGATTCGAACTAGATCGGCTCTAGACACGAGTTTTGTTGACTGACATCTACCGCACCCTGTTTACATAGCTAAGTGAAAAGTTCAAATATTACCTGTTGCTAGTTTTTTGCAGACAAAAAAGTTAATGTAAAGTTATTTCTTGTTGTTCGCTCATGAGATGTGAGTCAATGCTTTTTGTGAATCGGAACATATCTGGAAAAATCAGTAGCTTTCCAATACAGATCTCAACTCAGACTCGATCGGGTTCGGGTCTAGAAGGACTTGTAGATCTCTATAATCAACTGATATATTTTCTATAAACGAATTTTATTAGTGCATGAAATGTCAGAGAATTGTAACAGTTTATCTTATGAAAATGCTTCGAAAAAAAAATATTTTACTCGCAAATTTTCACAAAACAAGTACTAAAAAAACTACAAAAATGATCAAAATTAGCATTTAGACGTCGAGATACGTTTGATCTTTCCCTCTTCTCTTGGTCGGAAAAGTCCACTTTTGGCTGAACCTTCCTCTTTGTCTGAACGTTCTTTAAGAATGATCTTTTACAGGAATATTGAATCCTACAGTGAAAAATAGTTGATGATCTTTCAAGATAGTTACTTGCTATCCAACTTGTTACACTACAAATAATGTGTACTTGTCCAACAATTTTTTAGACGTATATTTGGAAACATACAAATTGGTGTTTTCATATATTTTCACTTTTATATAATATCTCATTCAATCCAAGTAAATTCGAATATTTTGGTAAACGACTTGGATAACCAAAAAAAAAGCAATGATTAGATTTATCTCGTTAATTTCTTTTTTTAAAAATATATGATTAATATCTTCATGTTTTTCTCTCTAATAATATTATTTTTTTGAAAGCTAAATGATACCTCTTCAAAATCATTTATGAGATTGTAGAATCTTAAGAGTTTTGCAATAAAAAAAAACAATATAGTTTTCGATAGCAACATGCTGAAGTATGAAAACATATATAAACGAAGAAATAAATACTCTTATAATTGAATATAAAATTCCAAATAAACTTTGTATTTTAGACTCTATCCTGTAGCTTTTAGATTCATTTCCACAAATAAGTAGAGATATGTTTTGTAACTAATTTTAATTTTAATTAAATGTCAACTGAATCCTACAAGTGTTCATATGTACTGTAAAGTAAATAAATAAAGAGTACCAATTATTATTATATATGTCGTATCGATGTTAAGCAGCCATCGAAATTGCAACGTCGATAGAAAATATTGATGAAATTGCAATAACTTCCATGGCCAATGTAACTTCGATACGACATATATATTAGACAAATGAGAAAACAGAAATAACAATATCGATTCATTCATTCATTCATTTATACTTTCAATTGATTATCAATGTTGACTAGAGAAAAATGGTGTTATTGTTTGTATCGACGACATCGGTCAAATAGAATAAATGAATATATGCATATAAATATTGATTTTTCATATACCGAAAAGAATAGATCAGTAACAATAAACATGGAATATGCATGCATTGGATTAAATGATTTACCTGATGAAATCCTTATCATTATTTTAAAAAAACTCGAGAATTTTGATGTACTTTATTCTTTCCAAGGTGTCAATCAGCGACTAAATAAACTTATTCAAGATCCAATTTTTACAAGTCATTTGACTTTTGTTAAATGGTTATCACATAATTTTATCGATCTAATTTCTTGTGATATGATACTTAATCGATTTTGTTTACAAATTTTACCTTCAATTCATCATAAAACTGAATGGCTTGATCTTGAATCATCATCTATGAAATATATTTTACATGCTGCCGATTATCCCAATTTACATACTCTTGGTCTATTTAATATTAATGAAGAGTCAGCTCGATGTCTTTTTACTGGTAAGATACTTGTTCTTATTCTAAAAATAAAAATGAAAAATCTATGAAACTTATCATTTGAATATATTGATGTTATTTTCATACATTTTTTTTTATCTTACTAATATATTTAGATAAAAAACTTTCATCTGATATTTTCAAAGATCAAATTAGAAGACTTTTTCTTACAATTGATAATAATAACATAACAGAATTAACAACGATAAACATATTGAATAACATGTTGACTGTTTTCACTAATCTAATTTGTTTAACATTATATGAATCATCGTATAAAAATCGTGTTCTATTGTGTTTTGATGATCCACCTCCTACTACTTTTCGTTGTTCAACTCTTTTGAAATTGAATATAAGAGTACAATCTTTTGAAGATTGTCTTTATCTTCTTGATGGTCGTTTTAATCAACTTCATACGCTCAATGTTGAGATGGTAGATATTTATTATTACGATGAAATTCAAAATCAAGTTTGTTTTATAAGAAAAACTTTTTATATTGTTAAATAATTTTTTTTAGGGTGATTTACCAAATCTAAAGTATTTTTCTCTGTCATCTGAGTACAAAACATATCATTATAATAAAACAATTCTTCCACTTCTCAATCGAATGTCAAATCTAGAGGAACTTGGTTTGTATCTTACAGTCTATGTTAATGAAACATTTATTGATGG